CAGTTGGAACTTCCTAATTTTGCGTTAGAATTGTTTACCGGTGGTAACAGCCTACCTAAAGTCCTTTCCATTTTTCCTGCATCCCTGGAATCTGGGCTCCCGTTTCCTGGGTGATTTACCGTTCGAAAATGCTACTAGAAGGATTTGTGAGTGTGGCACTCCGTGGGCTCTAGGAGGGTCAAAAGATTTGAATTTCCCTCCATTCTCAGTCTGGCGCCACCTTGTCACTGACCCGGGGGGCCTCAGTTGGAGAAGTTGTGCTAGTTTTTCTTAAGGAACCCGCGGCTCTACAAATAATCCCAACAGGAAGGGCCTTGGCTGAGGAAGAGGAGTCAGTGGGGCTGGTCTAGGTCCCGGGTTGGAGAGGAAGAGAAGCTGGGAAAAGAGCCAGCAGTTGACTGCGTATTAAAAGAGAAGAAAAATATTTTCTCTCAATTTCTGAGCAGAGTATTGTAGGTGACACACACAACTGTGTGTTTGGATGGATAAAACTTGAAGTAGAATTTCTCAAAGGACAGACTAGTTTTAAAAGAAAATTTAATCTTTTCCCAGATCCCACACAAATCAGTCGACTGCTATTTTAAGAAGTATTTCCTATCTCAGTATACACAAAATACAGTTGTGAAAGAGAAGCTTGCCTTAGAAACCAAAAATTTTGTTTTTGAGATCATAACCTCTCCCCCCATCCCCAGGGGAAAAAATGTTTTTTGGACTCAAGCTGCAGTTTAAAATCCTTAAAGTCCTTATGTTCTCCCCTGGAGGGGTGAGGTCTGGGTAGTAAGATTATCCTCAGCCTCTTCAGAAATATCTCCTGAGGTAGGGATTATTTTTTTCCTCATCTTGTTCTTCATAACTGTAACTTGCCTGCTTGCTTTTGCCTTCCTTACTTTTCTCTCTCTCCTTAATTCCTGATAGTTGATATTTTACCTTAAAGTATAGCCTCAGTTGAGAAGCCCAAACCAAAACCTGGGCCTCCTAAACTCAAAATTAGGCTGTTTTGACATCTGTACTGATAGCTGGTTGATCTTTAACAGGTGAATGGGAAATTTAAAAAGAGAACATTCAGATACCTGTACTTGAGAGAAGCCAGAAGTAAAATTCGTGAAACTCCCCAGTTGATTCTGATGAGACACCAACTTTGCTCATTTAAGTATTTTATGATGGCTGGTTTAGAATACCTAGTAGGCCAATTCTAACATCTGTGTCATCTGGGTCTCAATATGTTATTTTTCACTTAAAATGGAGATTTTCCCTCTTTAATAGTATGAGAGTAACTTTTAAAAAAAGAAAAACAACATTTTGGGTGAGAGTCTCAATCGTTTTTAAATTTTTGGTCTTAAGAGACTCCTCCCTGTGCCTGGGGTAGAAGGAGGGGCACTGCCTCATTGTTAGGTGGGAGTGGCAGTCCAAGTTTCTCCCCCAACCTCCTTTGACACTGACAAGGAAGAAGTGTCTCCTATTGCTGGGTTGAGGTGGAGGTCCAGGATCCCCACGTGGCCTCTGTAGGAGCAGGAACAATTCCCCTTCTTCCCTTCTAGTTTCTTTGGCTGGTCTAATTAGTAAATTGATATGACAATGTTGGAGTTCAGGGCAGGCCTTCCCAAGAAGTGCCACGTAGCATGCAGATTACTTCCAGTTGAAAGCCATCAAGGCCCAAGAGATACAGGAGGAAACTCTGACCTTCCCCACTAAAAAGCCTAAAAGAGTTTAGGTAGAGGATCCATTTCAGGAAGGGATTTATCACCACAGATAACTATAGAATAATTTGTACTAAATATTGTTGACAGGGAGTAACTGAGCAAAGACCGTTGATTAAAATTCCTCTCAGAGTGTCACATTCTTTGGCCCATCAAACATTTTATTTACAAAACACTTGCTTATTCATCTTCTTAAATTGCCTTCCTACTCTTTGAAGTCCCAAGCCTCTGCCCCTTTCTCTTAGATGGCATACAAGCCTCATTTTTTTCTTATGCCCTTCCCCTCTCAAATTTGATTTTCTCCTGTTAATCTGTCTTATGTCAACTTAATTCTTAGACCAGCTGGAAAAACCTAGAAGGGTAGAATTTTCCCTATCCAACAATTACAAGGGCATACTACTTCACTGCCTAGAACACTTAGGTTCTGGCACTTAGCATGTGTTTAGTAAATATATGTTGAATAAATGCTGAATGTACACCTCATGATTCTCTTGACCCTTATAGTTCACAGTGATTACTCTCCTCCTCCATGTGGCTCTTATAATTATTGCTAAAAACCTTCATTTTTGGAAGCAGGATATGCTCTACTATTTAATCTTTAGGTATACACTCCTTGCCCTGCCCTCTACCCAACCCCCCACCAACTCTTTTTTAAAAGTATAGTCTTTGAGATAACATCTGAGATTTCTTTTTACATCTCCATCAGGGGGTTTTGAAACATTTCAAAGGCACTGAATCAATGGGTATTAATGTTTATTGTTGTTGATAGTGAAGATAATAATAAGGAAACTGTATACTGTTCAGAGAAAAAACAATCATGTAAATCAGACTTCAGAGAAGGTAAAACGAAACAGAAGATGAGCATCATTACTCTCCTGCCAGGTTCCCTAGATCAAAATGTGGTTCTTTGACAGAGTTGGATTGAGAGTACTATTTTCTCACACCCTGTAGTAATATTAATAGTGTTTTATAATATATGCTGTAATCTCATGTTGAATATTTCTATTTAATATGAAGGGGTGCTTTGTTCTTTCTTTTCCTGAGAGTCCTGAGATCCATATACTTACGCTCTGCAAAGTTTTCAGCACTCTAACCACAAGAGGTCCAGTTTAACATGGAGGATGATGGGAGTCTTCTGAAGTAATTAGAATTTTGTGCGGTGGCCCAGTGACATAGATAAGTGAGAAAGGAGCGGGGAGGGTAGGATGGTTGGGAGTGGCACTGGGGAATTATGGCAAAGACTTTTCCAGCAGGAGTTTGGAGTCCTTGGTCCCATTAACTCTGTTACCTTAAGGAACATAAACTTGGGTGTCTGTTTCTCAGTCTCTAAAATAAGGACAGTATTCGCTCTACATACCTCCCAGGTGATCCTGGAAGGCATCATAGGTAAGATGAATAAAACAGAAGACTTGATCGTCTCGTTCTTGCCTTCAGTTCTCATTGTTCAGCTAGTTTAAGAAGACTTGGGCCAGGACAAAGAATTATGTCTCCTCTCTCCCTCTTTTCTGTTACAAGAGTTAGAAGGGTCAAAGCAACATCTGTCATAGAAACACCTACCTCTTAAATATCTGTTTAGAAATTATTCTGTGTTTATTCCTTTCCAAAAGTAATAAATCACAATTCCAGTAGCCGAAAATCAGAACAACGAGAACAATCACTCCTGCTTCTGACTGCATTTCTCTATTTAAGGAAACGAAATAGATGCAATTATTACTAAAGGCCCATCAGACTGAGATTGGAACAAACAAAACTCACATTAGAGAGCATTGTATGCAAATGAAGGATGCAGGTTCTGCTTTCCCATTGGTTCTTTGATAATAGCCAATGGGAGAGTTGCACACAGCCTACTTCCAGTTAGTATAAATAGTTCTCTCGCCGTGGGATTCCTTTTATTCTGTTGGTGTGTTTCTCGGAGCTTTGTCTGCTTTTCGCTTTTAGTAATGTCAGGGCGTGGGAAACAGGGTGGTAAGGCTCGCGCCAAGGCCAAGACCCGCTCCTCGCGGGCAGGGCTCCAGTTTCCAGTGGGCCGAGTGCACCGCCTGCTGCGCAAGGGCAATTACTCGGAGCGGGTTGGGGCCGGCGCGCCGGTGTATCTGGCGGCGGTGCTGGAGTACCTGACGGCCGAGATCCTGGAGCTGGCGGGCAACGCCGCCCGCGACAACAAGAAAACGCGCATTATCCCGCGCCACCTGCAGTTGGCCATCCGCAACGACGAGGAACTTAATAAGCTGTTGGGGCGCGTGACCATTGCGCAGGGTGGAGTCCTACCTAACATCCAGGCTGTGCTGCTGCCCAAGAAGACAGAGAGCCACCACAAGGCCAAGGGCAAGTAAAGTGTTGATTTTCTTGTACGACACTTTTGTTGTCCATTATCCAAAAAAGCCAAGTCTTACAAAGGCTCTTTTCAGAGCCACCCACCTTTTCCTTTTGAAGAGTTGTTAACGCTTTTTCATTCTGCCCATATTAAGATTCTGACACCAAGCGAAAATCCACAAGTAGTAAGTGAATCGCCCACGGGAAATCGTTAGGCCCAATAAATCTTTAAGAGTAAGTTAGCTGTAATAAGCCACACGATGTTATTGTAAACCAGATAAAGTGAGTGAGGTTCCAGTTAGAGAAGTTGCCCTCTGTTTCTGTAGTGACTTTTGGAACGTTTTTCGAACTGAACAAGGAAAGCATGGTAGTCGAAGGCGCGGGAGTCTTAAAAACTAACCGTCAATTTTTGGTGAAGTTACGGGACACACCAGACTTCCGCGACTAGATTTAACAGTTTAAAAAGCATTACATACTTCGCTGAAGCAATTGAGAGTAAGTTACAGATCCTTGATACTCCGATCTTGTCAAAAGCATCGTCCACAATACTTGTGCCACACCCAATAAAATTGAGTATCTTTAGATGCAACCCACATGTTTAAAATTCCAAATTACCATTAGTTGTTGCAGGGTTTTTTTTTTTAATCTATTTGGCGATATCTGCGTTGTTTGTGTGTAACTGCCTTGCTGTACATTTGTAAAGACCTCAAAAGGTTTCTGTCCACAATGGATACAGAAGAGAACGGGTAAATAAAATGACGTCAGGGCGTCAAAGCCGCTGTGGTAAAGGACAGGGTTTAGTATTCATTCGCCAACCTGAAGGCAGCTCTTAATCCGGGCAGCGGGGCGCAGAAATGGACCAATCCGGAGAGGGCGCGGGGACTTTTGAATGGTCTTGGGCCCAATAGTCGATGGTCTGGCTGTATAAAAGGAGGAGGGCTGAGCGTCTTTCACCGGCGTCTGTGAAGGCAGTCTTCGTGGTGTTTCGTGATGGCTCGTACCAAGCAGACAGCCCGCAAGTCCACCGGCGGCAAGGCGCCGCGCAAGCAGCTGGCCACCAAGGCGGCCCGCAAGAGCGCGCCG